ACCTAAAATAATGGTTTTCAAATGATATCTCTACACTCCTAACTTTGTTTTTTCCATTAAGTCAAAACTTTGTACTTAGGTTGGGTGCTAAAGAAAAGCAGCTTATGTTACTGTTTTCTGAGCGTGTCCCTGTGCTGGTTTTAATTGGGATTGAGTCAGTTTTCCTCACAGCAGCTAGTATAAGGCTATGTTTTAGATTTGTGCTGAGAGTAACACTGGAAGCATACTAATGTTTTTAGTTGATGCTAGGAAATGTTTAAGTCAACTCAAGATTTTTTTTTCAGTTTCTGATACTGGCCCTGTCCTCCCAGCTCCTTCTCTAGATGAGGCTGGGAGGGGCCACAGCCAGGACAGCTGACCCAAAGTGACCCAGTACGTAAGCTGGGGGGTTGAGTTGGGCTGGGGGTGGGGGCTCCTTCTCTATTCCCAGCTCTGGCACTCCGTAGGTCAGCGAGTGGTGAGCAGTTTTACCATTTGTTTTCTTTTCCATTATTTTCATTACACGTTGTTAGTATTATTGGTATCACTATTTTGTTTCATTTACTTTCAATTACTAAATTGTTCTTATCTCAACCCACGAGCTTCCTTGTCTTTTCCTCCGATCCTTCTTCTCCACTGGAGGCGGGTGGAGGTGAGTGAAGCAAGTGGCTGCGTGGTACTGAGTTGCTAGCTGGGATTAAACCACAACAGTCCCTAAAAGCTTCTAAATCAACGGACAACTTCATCCAATCTTAAAATATCAAAACCAGCATATATATGTGTATATATACACACACATCCCTCATATATGCTATTAGCATATGTACGTATGTAATACTAATATATGCATGCATACTAATATATACGCACGCACTAATATATACTTGTTAATGTGTGTGTATATGTATTAGCAGCTAGAAATAGAGTGAAAATCCAGTTTAGTGGCAGACTATTCTCTGGTGTACAGTGGTGCCCAGAAGTTGCATTCATACCTTCAAGTATCTTCAACAGCTTTTTTTCAGACAACAGCTCCAACTGCTCCAAGCAAAGCCTTTTGATTTCATCCATGGAACAGCTCTAAGACGACAAGATAAGACAGGTCATGAGCTACCAACAATTTCTGAAGACAGAGTAATTATGAACAGTAAGTAATACTCCAACGGTAGTGAATGAACTGCTAACTCCCATTGCAAACCCCTTCCCTATTCTGACCTGCATTAACGCAACTGTAGAAGAACAGCTGGTAGGTGTTTCAGTTTTGACAACTACCAAAAATGTTGTGTGTGTGTGTAGGTTTTTTTCTGAAAAATTAAGCAATACATATTATCAGTTACTAGATCTATGGTTTGGAGTTGTCACTGCAGTTCTAACACTGAGCAGTAGCGGGCCACGTGTGCAAAGCACGGACCAGTAAACAACTGTAGCTCTGATTATTCCTAATCCTCCATCACTTGGGAGCAGGTGGATTACACAATTAAGCCTACAAAGCCAGAGACAACTGCTGAATCTGAGTTCATGGACTGAAGCAAACACTCCTACTGACAACAGAACAACAAGCTGTGCATCTTAATAAGGAAAATAAGAAACATGTGAATTGTGATCCATTTCTCATACCTGATAGATACCACACACTGCCACAGATTTTGTGGGTATTCCATTCACCTTCACATCTTTCACACTACTTGGCGTCTCTTGGTGACATAAAGTGATAAGTTCACACTGTGATACTATATCCAAGTACCAGAATCAGGAAGTGCTGAGCATATTGTAACATTCACAACTCTACTGTAGGTTTGTTCCTACAGCACCAGGCCACTTCCTTTCAAACATAGCAACGCCTTTGTCTCCAGCTGCTCCAGACCTCTTTTCTTCTCCCAGAGATGAGAAACAGGTGAGACTGTATGGAATTCACTATGCATTTAAAATGAAGATGACCTGGGTTTTTTTATATTAACAGTACGACTCAAAGGAAACATTAAAGACAAAGATTTTAAGACTATTGATGAACATCACACAAACAGCATTTCACCTGCAGCCTCTTCTTCCACAAGGCTTTTAGCCTAACTTATTTTTACCAGGTCCTGCAGTTCACAAGGCTCAAAAAGCGTATGTTCTAAGCTGGTAAAACTCTAGCAATACTACCACTAAGGTCCACAAAACTACAGCTTCAGAAGCTGTTTGTCAAGAAGGGGTTTTATCGCCTTAGATGTTAATTTAATCCCTTCCAAAGAAACCCACCTGACACAAACAGAAATCAAACTTTTAACACATCAGCATAGTTTTTAGTGAATACGCTACAGAATTTACTGCATTTAATTATGAAACTCTCAGTACAGACTGATGTCATAAAAACAAGCAGCCTGCAGTTCAGCAAAGGCTGAACAGTGCAAAAAGGAGTAAGTTGGAATAACTATATAAAATCTTAAAAAAAGTCTCACTTTCAGAGACTTGATAAAATCTTAAATAAAGATGTAAATATACAGGCAGTTTTTAAGCTGCAAGTCCACTAGACCTGAGAAATAAACCTGCTCTGTTACAGAAGCATTCAAACTTGTAAAAAGCATATAAAAGGAGAGTGTATGTCAGTACCTTTAAAATATCAGGTAGCATCTTCTGTAGTTTTTTCTCTCCTATAACACAGAAACACTGTTGAAGCATTTCTTTTTTGTCCGCAATGTAGAAACTGACCGGTTTGAGTGACACACTAAGATCTAATCCTCCTTCTTCTATATCACTGGGTTGTTCAGCTTCTTCCACTTTTTCTCCAGATGGTACATTGCATTTTGATTCCTAAAATCAAGAAAGGCAAGTACAATTTTCACATTTTCTAGTAAACTAGAGAAGAAGGTCTGCTGGCTTTGGCTGGGATAGAGTTACTTTTCTTCATGGCAGCTAGTATGAGGCTGTGGTTTGGATTTGTGCTGTGCAGATGACTGACAACATACCAACGTGTTTAGTTGTTGCCAAGCAATGCTTATATTAAGCCAACGCCTTTTTCAGTTGCTGATACTGCCCTTGTGTTCCCAGCTTCGTGTCTAGAAGCTGGGAGGAGACAAAGCCAAGACAGCTAACCCAAACTGACCAAAGGGCTATTTCATGCCACAAAATGTCATCCTCAGTGTATAAACTGGGGACAGTTGACTCACTGAATGAGGAAAGTCTCTGCTCATGGACTGGCCAGGCATTGGTCAGCAGGTGGTGAGCAGTTGTATCACTTGGGGATTTCTTCATTTCATATTAGTAGCAGTAGTATTTTCACTACATACTACTAGTAGTATCATTATCTTATTTCATTTCTTTTCACTTACTAAACTGTTTTTATCTCAACCCACAAGTTTTCTTACCTTCTTCCTGATTCTCTCCCCCATCCCAGCTGGCAAAGGGGGGATATGAGCGAACAGCTATGAGGTGCTTAGCTGCTGGCTGGGTTAAACCACGAGCATGCTATTTGGTACCCGACATGGGGCATGAAGATCTGATTACATAACAACAGATCTGATTACTGTTTGTTAAAACAAAATTGTTGTAAGTATTTGTTATAATGATTTGGCGATCATTGGCCATAATTTTGGTTGCTTTGTTAGAGTTATTTGAACTGTAGGATGTAACAGTTGTTACATCTTGTAACAAGGGAACTTACTTGTTCCCTGTTACGCTGATCATCAGCTCTGGAATCTGGTTCAAGGGTGCACGGTGGTACCAGCAGTCTAGATTGCTATCCTCTCCGAACCTCGAGCGCCATCTCCTGGAGATTATTAGTAATAACATGTTCTACTTTTTGGGGAGCCAGCCTAGGGAGGAGACATCTCTATCAGGCCAATTACAATAGTGTTTGAGTATTTTGAAAATTTTAATTCTCCTTGGAATGACCTATTTCTAGGAATCAGCATGTTCCTGAACGTGGTTCTGGTTTTGCTCAGGGATAAACAACTATTGAAAAATACCGCCCCATCTGCTACCAGCGCAAATGAGGGTGCTGTGCCACCCACAACGGGTCCTGCGGCTACTCCAACCCCAGCAATGACTAATGTAGCTGGATCAGGGAATTGACCAGTATCAGTAGTCACTATACAAAAGCAGAAACTGCATGAAAAGCAGCTCATTTTAGCGAAGGAGGGCTGTCACAAGAACCAGACCAAGACGCAGAACAAGAGGTAGCCACTCAACCTCTATCCCTAAGCTGGACATGCAGTAAGATTTCAGCCATCACCCAGGTGAGCATATATTATCACCTGGCTGCTCTGATGCTCGGTAACAGGGCCAGTAGCCTAGAATTACAGGGTAGACAAGCCACGCAGTTCGCATTACATGCTAGAGAAGGGGGCATTGATAAGGCGACTGGGACATGGACACATAATCTAAGCCTCTGGAGATGACTCAGGCTGGGCAGAGAATGGATGGAGAGTAGCCCTGAGGAGAAGGACTTGGGGGTACTGGTGGATGAAAAGCTGAACATGAGCCGGCCGTGTGCGCTGGCAGCCCAGAAAGCCAACCGTATCCTGGGCTGTATCCAGAGAAGCGCGGATACAGTGAGAGCCAACCTAGAGACCCCAGCCGGAGTTCTGCATCCAGCTGTGGAACTCACAACATCAGAAGGATATAGACCAGTTGGAGCAAATCCAGAGGAAGCCACAAAGATGCTCAGAGGGTTGGAGCCACT